TAGTCACTCAGTCTTGGATTGCATGCACGGACGCACGCCCTGGCAGTGGGGAGTTTGGACAGCGCAGTCACAGTGGTGAGCCAAGTGCAGGGCGAGAAGTTACCCGAGCCGAGCTTGGGAGATGAGATGCGCTCATTGTGGCGGGGTAAGGGCGGGCGGCTCTGCCGAAGAGTCACACAGTCGGATGAGGGTCAGGTCAAGAGTGCGCAAGTCCAGCTCCAGCTAGCGAAGTCGAGCTATGACGCGCGAGTATCGTTTGGCGTGAGGGTGATATCTGCTGTGGCTGCGCTGGTGGGCGCTGGGGCCAACCAAACGATCGACTCCACACGCTCGCTCCCCCACAGCAGACACTGGGGAAAGCCTTCCACCATCATCTCCTATCTTTCATCCCCTCATCCTATGTGTGAGAGCCTTCTCGATTGACACTCTGTAAGCGTCACATTCGCGCTTTCTTCTGGCTTTCACTGTCACCCTCATCAAGTTGTCGTAGCCCTACGCTCCCTTGCGACGGCATTCGCACTCGCACCTGAACTACTTCACGACAATGTCTCAAGCACCCGTGGTTCGCGATGTACGGAACCCTCTGCTCTTCGAGTGCGCATGGGAAGTTGCAAACAAAGGTGAGCGGAGCTAAAGAACGTCCTGCGTTGAAGGCGAGGGAATCCGCTTCGGAAAGCGGAGCTTCTTGTGCTGGATTGCAGACATACATGCTATAGCAGCACACATCTAACGCTGATACCGCTCCTATCGACAGTGGGAGGTATCTACACTGTGATCAAGACTAAAGCACCAGTGACAGCACAAGAGTATGGGGATCGATACTGTCTAATTGGACCCCTGTCCTACAAGACAGCCCCTATGGAAGTCGAAGCGATGGAGCCAGAGAATGAGCCGCTGCGAAACACACTCAACAGCATGAAGGAGAGGGGCGTCAAGTTCCTATATGGACGATGGCTGATCGACCGCGCTCCCAAAGTGCTACTATTCGACACTGGTAGCATGTACCACCGCTTGGACGAATGGAAGGGCGATCTGTGGAACCTTGCGGGAATTCCGACCCCATCGCACGACCACGAGACCAACGAGACCTTGGTTCTTGGTTACCTGGTAGCTTGGTTTCTAGGCGAGGTGAGTAGCAGAGGGAGTCCTGCGTGATGCTGAGCGTGAGAACGGAATTGCAGGCATGCGAACAGACTTTCCTGACCCGCTTGTCCTCGTTCTAGTTTGCGATTCAAGAAAAGAAGCGCGCAATTATTGCGCACTTCCACGAGTGGCAGGCAGGCCTGGCGATCCCGCTGTGTCGCAAGCGCAGGATTGATGTGACCACCATTTTCACAACGCACGCCACCTTGCTTGGTCGATATCTCTGTGCTGGATCTGTGGACTTCTACAACAATCTGCAGTACTTTGATGTGGATCATGAGGCAGGCAAGAGGGGCATCTACCATCGCTACTGCATCGAGCGAAGCGCGGCCCACTGCGCTGACGTCTTCACTACGGTCAGCCACATCACGGCTTACGAGTCGGAGCACCTGCTCAAGAGGAAGCCTGATGGAGTCTTGCCAAATGGGCTGAATGTGGTCAAGTTTTCTGCGATGCACGAGTTCCAGAACTTGCACGCTGTGAGCAAACAAAAGATCAACGAGTTTATCAAAGGGCACTTCTACGGTCACTACGACTTTGACCTCGATAACACCCTTGTGAGTCCAGTTTGACGCGCCAAATTCTGGGCCCACGCTGCCAAGCTGACCCCAAGACGCGTCTTCCCGCTACCACCCCGAATCTCATAGTACTTCTTCACTGCTGGACGTTATGAGTACAGGAACAAGGGAGCAGACATGTTCATCGAATCGCTTGCCCGCCTGAATCATCGTCTGCAGAAAGCCGGCTCAAAGATGACTGTGGTGGCTTTCATCATCATGCCTGCGGCTACGAAGAGCTACACCATCGAAGCGCTCAAGGGGCAGGCAGTCACCAAGCAGTTGCGCGACACTGTGGATCAAATCCAGCAGCGCATAGGCGAGCGCCTCTTTGAGCGCACAGCCAGATACAATGGGTACGTCCACGCTGCTTGTTCTAGCACGAGACCATGATCTTCTTCGCGAGTGCTAATCTCTACTTGGTACCTGGATACTGCAGCGAGGGAAATACGGACATTGTCGATCCTGAGACGTTACTGTCCGAGCAAGATCGCATTCTCCTCAAGCGACGCATCTTTGCCCTCAAGCGTAATTCGCTGCCCCCTGTTGTTACCCACAACATGGCAGACGACGGAGCAGACCCCATCCTGAACCAAATCCGACGCGTCCAGCTCTTCAATCGTTCTCATGATCGAGTCAAGATGATTTTCCACCCGGAATTCCTCAATGCAAACAACCCCATTCTGGGCCTTGACTACGAGGAATTCGTGCGAGGATGTCACTTGGGAGTCTTCCCATCGTACTACGAGCCTTGGGGCTACGTGAGTAGCGCACTTTGTCAAGCAGCCAGC